CGATGGCAAAAGTAGCTAAACTTTTTACTCCTATTGCGATGCGGGCACTTTGAGGTGTTGTTGCAAAGTGTCAAGGGTTACTGAGAGTCGCCACGTTAAAGGGTTTCTTGCCTAATTCCATTTGATTGCACTTCGCACTTTGAATCGTGAAAACTACGGGATAATTTCACGCCAACTACGGACAATTTTTGCAAAAAAAGGCTACGCCGCATAACTTGTAGAAAACTGCCGTCATTTTATTCAGGAAAACTCCGTTTTCAAGCTTTCATGACGTGACACGTGAAACGGGTCAGGGAATTTACTTAAGGGATAGTTCCGTAAAGTGCGTCGTGAAAGAAAAATCTCCTCGATGACAGCAAGCTTTCCCGCCGGCTAAATGTGAACAGACGCGATTATGGTTTCGTGTAACATTCGAAGTTTATCGAAGTTATGACGGTAAAGGTGAAAGTTTAACCTATTTTTTTAAGTTAGACTGTTATATTGTACTAATATTCTTTAAAATAATATCTCTTTGTTAATTTTACCGCGAATATTTTACTGATATTTTAATTAACGCGCATGTACAATAAAATTATAACGTTTGCAAATCAATTTTCACGGATTATTTGCTTGAAGTTACACAATCTCTTTATATGCAAACATCTGAATAAATTATCTTTCGAATGGAAACATGTTTTGTTAATGAATACTTTTCTTACAAAAACGCAAGGAAAATAGAAGATACATCATGAATATACGATTATTCTAGGAAATTTTAATATATTTTATTTTAATATATTTAATATATTTTAATATAATTTTAATATATTTAATATATTTTAATATAATTTTAATATATTTTATTTATGAATATTCCAATTAAGAGAGAGGAAGCATTGTAACGACGATCTTTGATATGATCTCATAAGTATTTATTAAGTCTGATTGAATCTGAATGTACTCGCATAATTCCAGGACTTCATTAAATCTAGAGTGAATAAATTAATATATACATACGTGTGCACAAAAATTTAGTTTTAATTATTATTTTCCTTTTTTTCCTTAGAAAATGTTTCTAAGTAGCTTTTCTGTTGTATATTTGGAAAAACGACACGAGACCAAACATGGAATGAGAGAAAGGGTAGAGAGTAAATAATCCATAGGATTACAGTCCAAGAACGTAATAAAAGTTTTATTATTCCACAAAATCCTATACAATACTAAAGGGAATAATGTGTAATAAAGTAACAAAATTCTAAAAAGTCATTACGAAAGAACATTATTATACAAACATATGTCGCATATCCACATAAATCATGAGATATCAAAAGATAACTTTATGTAAACATATATGTCCTCACTTTAAAATATTGGCTCATATAATCTTCAGGTAAAATTTTGCTATGGATTATTATTATTATTGTATTAACTCTATCGTCGCCCACTAATTTTTTATCAAGCACTTGAAAAATTGTACATGTATACACAAGTTTTATTTTTAAATTTATATACTTTTACTATACTTATACTTTACCATTAGACTTTTTTTAATATATTTATTTATATATTTTCTTTTATATATTTATTTATATATTTTCTTTTATATTTTTATTTATATATATTTATTTATATAAACTTTTTTATATATTTTTTATAACATTTAGACTTTTTTAGAATTTGACAAGAAAATAATGTATAAATTTATCACTTTGATATATATATATATATATATATATATATATATATACATACAGGGTGAATTTTATTGCTTGTGTCAATCTTTTTATCATGTAGAGATTACCTCGAGAGACTGCATAATAAATTGATCGGTACATAAATGTCAATTATTTGGATTGATCGTGTCGAAGACCCGAATATAATGTGTATAATAATTATAATAATAATACTAAATATGTAGCTTTAATAATAATAATAATAAATTCATACTACATAATTTCGGCTTTTAATTTGCTTTAATTGTACACATTACATTCGGGTCTTCGATAAGGTCAATCCAAATAATTGACATTTACCGATCAATTTATTATGTAGTCGGTAATCTCCTGCATGATAAAAAGATTGACACAAGTAATAAAACTCACCCTGTATATATATACAATCGTGAGGATGATTTTAATGCAAGGGCTATCGCACACAAATTGATGTTCATTGGTTTAGGCAGTCTTACGCTATGCATAATTCCATATGCATAGCGTAAGGCTGCCTAAACCAATGAACATCAAACATTAAATCACCATACCAGATGCTCATTAATCTAGATGGTCTTATACTATGTATATGCGTATCAATTTGTGCGATAGTTCTAAAAACAGATTCATGATTGTTTAAGAAAATTTGTATTTTTTTTTCTTTTTCTTTTTTCGATTGCCTTAGATGTACGATATTTTTCGTATTTGTTTTCTTGGAGGGGTTTCTGTCGACTCTTGTATAAATGAAATTCTATCTACAATTTATCGCGAAGAGGTCAGGGGGTTAACGAGACGCGAAACTCGAGTCCCGAATTCTGTAGTATCGTACCCGCGAGGCATCGTATCGTTTCTCTCCGACAAATATAGGCAATTTCTACCGTCTGCCCTTGTCAGTTTACTTCTCAGACGAATCTAGGCAACACGTTTACTCCTTGGAAAGTTTCACGGCCTAAAGGCGAAAGATTGCTTTGCAATCAAACCATCCTTCTATGTAGTGAGTTACAGAAAGGAGAATTATATTGCAATCGAGGAATTCAATTTGTTTGTTTTAATTGCTTTTGTTCTTTTTTCTTTTTTTTTCTTATATTTGTTCTTTCTAATTGTAAATCGTAGAGCTATCTGTAGATACTTGAGTTATAAAAAGCTATAAGAGTAATTAAAGGAATGATATATAAAATAGGATTTATACAGAAAAAATTTTATATATTGTTTTTAACAATTAAATCATAAAATTACATGAAGAAATATATATTTGTATAGCTTATTATCAATATAATTTTTGCAGTTATTGTAAATATGCTCTACAGATATTTAAATTAAGCCGCTCAGCTAATTTCTATATGTCCAGATATATGTATTTATATGTGTATTATAAATTTAATTATAAAATATGTACTATAAATGTCTTATAAATCATAATCTTATAATATTATTTTTAATTAAGTTGTTAGAAACAGAAGTCAACATTAAATCGGTTTTGATCGAATAAACACATAGAGGAAATTTATTTTCTTTGTGCTAAATATATCGTACAGCAAAATATAAACATTTTAACATGAACGATTGAATGAAATGTTGTGCCAAAATTTATCTCTCTCATCGTAATAACGATATTGAAAAGATTAACAAAAAAGCGACCTATTATTTCTTGTCTGTTTATGTTCTTTAAGTCTATTTTATTTTTATTCAGATTAACTTTTTGCCAGCTTAACTTTTTTTCGCTAACGCGAGTCATTCATGTGACAAATCAACCACACATTGCGAAGAAAATTGAATATCATTTATCGACTTTTTTGCCAGTCTCCACTTCGAACCAGTACTTAATACCCATCGCGAGGGTAACCCTTATGATTGGACTCGATTTTTTTTCAAAACAAATTCTCCTCCCGGACCTTCTTTCGCTTCCTACCAGCCTTTGATAAATTCTCTCCATTAAATTGTCTCGACATCGGATAATGGAGCATAAAAAATGTAAGAAATGATGCGCTCAGTATTTTGCTTTGTCGGAATTAACTGCATTAATTAAACGTAATAGCATCATTATAATGATACCGGATAATGAAATAATCTCTTATAAAAGAGCGTTATTCTATGTAATTCGGGGAAGATAAAAGTAGATAAAAGTAATGAACAGTTTTTGAAGTGGTTATTCGCGATGATGTTTTGTTTACACGTAATTTGCCATAAGTACATAATGCATCAACGATAGTCTTGTATCGTGCACTCTTTGGAGATAGTGAAGTATTATGGAAACGATTTGACGGATGCCGCGCACGTCTCATCGAGGGAAGATTACGGCCTTTAACAAAGCAAAAGCAATATTTCAGAATGAAAGAGCAATTTTTCGAAACCTTGGAAACGATCCAACATTTCTCGCGTATCTCACGCTTATTAAGCGTCATAGCATGTGACGTGAGGCTAATGCTGCGAGGAGAGAACTATACACGGTCCTGAATCAGCAATGGACGCAAGTATCGAAAGTCGATACGTCACGTTGCAAACAGACACTCGCACAAATGGCGAAAATTTTTGGATAACGAGCCGAAGACAAAGTTGCGTGAATACGAGCCTCCGTGAATACGGAATAATTCAATGTTTCTCTCAAAGAAACAAACTCAAAGAGAATGGAATAATCCATATTCTATTGTATATTTCTTTTCCTCTGATATCAACAGTGACTTAAGAGGAGAGATATGATTACTGATACTTATCAGGAGAGATATGATTCAAATATTATAAATTAAATAATCTCTAAAAGCAGAGAGATATTTTTAATTTAAAAATATAGCTTCTTTTTTTCTATTTTGCGGTCATAATTTTAACAGATTATCTTTAATATTAATAGCGATTGAAATATATAGGAGAGATATGATTTACAAATGTTATAAATTAAATAATGTAAAAGCAGAGATATTCCGACCTCAAAACATATGAATTTCTACTTATTCTATTTTCCAATTATTAAAATTTTATCAATTAATTTAATTTTACGATATTAATATTATCGAACGTATCTTTTTCGTAAATAAATATTATGCATAGCTAATATAAATATTTTTGTACATACATGAGAGTAAGCCGAATTGTATAATCAATGATAATCTGTAAACTTATAATCGTAAATTGAATTTTCCGTAATTAATGTCGACGTTGATTATCGCAAACTACCAATCGATCAATTATTTTATGTTTTGGCGATAGATGGATAATATCATATATACAAGCATAAATCGCGCGCATATTCGGGGCATATATTGGGAATATTGTATTTTGAGATGCGAGGATAAACTAGGATAAGCTAAATCAACATACCTGTGAGAATTAATTTATAGTTTGTGAAATCTTCGTGATGCGAGCTCTAAAATTTTCCGGGTAATTGTCGCACCGGATCTCCCCTTGTTCATGCTTGGCCAACTTTGTGTATTCTCGACGATGTCATTGAAGGGATACGAGTAGTAACTCTCGTATACACACTAACTTCTAGTATACTAGCTTCTTTACCGAACACATTCGGTAATTTGACGTTTAATATGTCGGCGCAATCTTTGTATGGTATTGCCGATATTATAATACTTTTGTATAAAATTTGAAAGCATTTCATAAAATGTTTGATGATTTCATATCCACACTTTTCGCCTAAATGTAGCACGTAAATATTTTAATTGTCGATATAAATGTTTCAAAAAATTATCTAGCTCTTAAAAAACTAAAGACTAAAAAAATCTATCTGTCTTATATTAAATATACTTGATAAGTTATATAATCAATAAACTAGATTTATTGATTACTCTAAATTAATTTTTAAAATATATCTTCGTCAACTACACTTTCATAAAATATATCTTCTAGCTGTTTCAATGATGTAATCTTTATCATACAATAGAAGTTAGAGTTGGACACTTAAAGATCGATTTTTCTCTGTCACCAGCACGCCATCGTATCTCCGGAAATTTACTAGTGGTTCGAAGTTCGTCGGTCTCGATTCTATCAGTCGAGTCACGTCCATGTGTTCTCTTTGAATTTCTTCGTCGAACTTTCGGAGTCGAGCCTTTTCTCGTTTTCAACTGCGATTAATCACGGTTGCGCGACGTGCTTGTCTTCACATGCAAATTCATCCGCGTGAGAAAATTCACGAGACATTATTCCACCAAATATTTCCACTCTGTCCAATCAGTAGAGCACACAATTTTGAGCCTTTTGTTGTCAATCTTTCGACGATTCATGCATTTTACAGCGCGAAAATAAATATTTTGTCCATAAACCATACGTAGTTTCTATCAGCCTTTTGTGATGATAATCTTCGAAACCTCGTGCGTATATCGTGGACAACGAAATTTGCATGCAATTCGAGTTCCTCGACGGCTCTCGGCCGACTGACCGAAAACCTCACGACTACCTCGCGCGTCTCCTTTATCCGCGCATGTGCCGCAATGTATAAGAGATTTTAATCAAAAGCCAACAAAAATTGAAAGAGTAATCGAATGTATAGCAGATGATTATAAAAAAGGACGTCTTATCAAAAGTTAAAATCCTCCGAATAAAGACTATCGCAATACGCGATATATATATATATATATATATATATATAAAACTCTTAACTGGTATTTAATTTACCTTGTATAAACTTTTCCAATCGTGTCATTTTTTTTTCAAATATTTGCAGAAGAGAGAGTTTAATTTTAAAATAATATCATAAATTAGACGCGTATATCATATAGACTACGGTATTTAAATAAATTGTGTAAATCTACCTCTAATGGTAATTGTGTAAAGTTAAATAGTGATCATTTATCACGATTTTAAATAAATGTATTATCTCGTGAATTTGTATTTTTATTTTATTAATTTATTTTATTAATTTTCATTTTATTAAAAATCATTATAGATTATTTCTTTTGCAATTGATAATATATTTCTGAAAGTAATTTCTCTGTATGTTTGGCACAGAAATAGTCGGGAAATTATTATATGTTAAAATAACGTCATGAGACTATAAAAACTTTAATTTAGTGACAGATACATTACAAAGCACGATATAGAGATTAATAATCTTGCACATTAATTTCACTAAGTCTATTCAATTCATCTCATCAGTTTCAAATAAATGCGTTAGAGAGATAGCGTTTTTAAATTTTATAAAATTCGATGAATATCCCCTTTGGGGATGATAATTAATCAAGCCGCGTTTCGTGAATCTACATACAAATCCCACAGATATGTTATTTTTAGTCGAAGAACAATCGTATTCTCTGTTACCTCCGGGGAGGGGATTTTCTGATCGATTTTATGGTAAATTTACAGTGGATATGGCCGCGATGTTACAAGCAAATATTCTCAGTCTGTTTACGATGCATGCAGAATGAAGGAAGGTGAAGCCAGAAATTGAGAATTCTATTATATTACATTTTGGTGGAGAATTTCGATTTGCAAAATATTTGTAACAAATTACCAGTTGAAAATTTCTGTTTAAAAAACAGCTCGCATATCTCTGTTGTTGGCAACTGAGGGTGAAAATTCCTTCTTAAAGAGATACAACGTCGTTGAAACATACGATGCGAGATGCAATTCAGTTTACTAATTGCAAGGAAGCTGCACCGCCCGGAAGTAGGTTACGTTAAGCCTGGTTGAGAATGCAGGCGGACACACTCATCAAAGTGAATGCGCAAAGCTTATGAGTACATCTATGTATGCATGTGTGTGCGAGGGAAGTATGTAAATCTGCGCACGATTATGAAATGGAACACGAAATGCAGTGCTTTTTAATTATTTCGTGAAGAATTTAATTAATCACACGCTGCAATATTACATTTCTAATAAAATATGAAATCTTTGTGTGATTTCAAGTTATATATGGGACATATAGAAATATAATAATTTACTATGTAGTATATATCCTAATAATATATATAATCCTAACGATTAAAAATATATATATGTGTGTGTGTGTGTGTGTGTGTGTGTGTACAATAATATGTAGATGGTGGCGCATATTTTAAAGTGTTAATTGAAACGTTTAAGTGATAAGCGTGATTGAACACACTTTACATCTCGTTATATATCGAATAGGGCTTTTACGTGCAAAATTCGCTCGCCAATATTGTGCCTTTTATATGCCTACTCGCATTTTGTAATACTCTCAAAGCAGCCTCCCTCTGACATTTCCTGTTTCGATCCAGAAAATCGAATTCTCCCAGATAATTAAATCAATCATAGAAAAAAATAATTGAAAATTATTATTGTTAATATAGATTAGTACGAGAGCTTTTTATTTTCGAACAAAATATACACGCACACAAATAACGTTCCGTATAGAAATTATGTCGCTGCTCAAAACGAGCAATCTAATAATGAATAATAATTTTTAGCGACGCGACGTTCGCTTAATGTCATTATACCTTTATGAAATTAATGCGTCATCTATTTAACCTGAATATTTCCTGGGACTTGTGAATGCAATTGTATTTTTCAAATATATACGAACATACGGGAATATATAATATACAAGTGACTTTTAATTAAACTGAAAGTTTAATTTCAATCGGACGTTTAATCACACGCATTTCGTATCTTTTTAATTGCTACGTTTACGTTCAATGTTTATTCATTGAAAGAGATTCGTACAATAATTAAAGTAACATCGATTTTCTTAATGAGATGTTGAATCTGCCATGTTTTCAAGCGTGTCTTTGCTCATAATCAGTTTTATTGTGGATTTAATCCGGCGTTAGGTACTCTGAGAGTACATCCGGAACCACATCCGACATTTTCTCGTATGCACGCGCGTATTATATGCATGTGTATGTGCGAGTGTATGTGCGTGTGTGGCTGAGAGGGCAGTATCGTTGGAATAATGTACATAGAAGCTGCCACGTTTTGTGATCGCAAAAACAATTGAGCGATATTTATATGTGCAGATTAAACGTTGTCTAGGAAAATGTAATATAAAAAAACACAAAATGATGAAAATACACAAAAAATAGTGAATAACGCCATATGGATGTACATATATATTTTATTTGCATTTGATATGCAAAATTACAAGGAATTATACAAAGTATGACATTGTATAAAAAATGAGAACAAACGATTGTGCAAAAATATAAAATATAGAAAATGATCTCGTGTGAAAAAAAATTATTTTACAATCTGGTCTTACTTTTTTACATATGTTTTATTCATTTATAAAAGCTTTTTCGTTCGTTTTTACGATGTTAGTTGCACTTTATGTATCGAAATTATGAATGAGTATATTAATGGATAGATAGACTAATATAAAGGGGCCGTTTGGAATAGAGGGTGAATATCGATTTGTCTGTGAGAGTATACATGTATATATGTGAGCAACTTCAACTCCTTCAGCAATTTTCTCGCGTGCGTGTTCGTGTCGGACGCCAGATGGTGAATACCAGACTGTGGTCAACTAAAGATTTATCACTCTACGAAACTGTATCGTCAGTAAAAGACATTTAGCTCGGCGTTTAAATCCTATAAATTTACTCTTTAATAGGTGCATACGGCTTTGATTAACACATAATCTGCTGCAATTATCTCTCAAGTAAATTCTCGACGCGTTTAAAGCTGCCGCGAAGTTTAGCGAAAAAATCATCATCATTCTTGTGCATTATCTTCTTGATGAGATGCTAATTTTATGTCGATATAACTTCTCGTACACTTTACCTCGCGATGCCGTAGCACGTCATAATCCATTAATTAGAACTTTGTCGGCTAATGACTGACCTCTTATAGTATCTCGAATTTCCAGCCCTTTATATTTTCATGTTTCCTTCGCGAAAATGTTTTGAAGAGTCAAAAACACTTTACACTTAATGAATGATATTATCTTCTCGCTATCGGGGTCAAAAATGGTGCCGCTATTACGAAGCTTGGCGGAAATGTATGCTCGATAATTTCTGTGCAAAAAGCGCGCCGTGAATTCTTCTCGCAGTTAGTATTTGCTCAGCATACATTGTATATAACGATATGCTATTGTTAAACGTTCTATAAAAACGTTTACTGTTATGAATTATTTCCTATCTTCTTTTTACTCTGTTAATCCTTACTTATAGCAGCAACTATGAAGCGTATAGAATAAGGTAGAAATGAAACGGGAGAGAAATTTTTTTTTTTTAATTTAAAGGAACCGGAGAGAATATTGCATGTCTTTTCATGTGCAATATACGATGATGGTTTGCAGGTTTTGCAAAAATTTTTCGAAATTTCTTCAAACAATATCTACGTTATTTGCATAATATAATGAAATTAACTTTCTAAATCTAATAAGTATGTTGTGTGTTATATTAGTTTTACCGACTTATCTTTTATAGAGATAAATGACTTATAGCAAATTATTCGGTTGATGAGAAAATATTTAATATCTCATTATAATAAATATTTATTATAAATAATTATTATAAATATTTATATCTCATTATGTATATTTACTCTGAAATTTTTCTAAACAAAATATTAAGTAAGTTTTCTGTTATTGCACATTTATAAATTAGTTTATAGTTATTAATCATTATTATTAGTTTATAGTTATTAATCATCCAACGTTAGATTGTCATGACAGATAATTGTGGTCTCGAAGGAACTCGAGATTATTTTCGCGTCCACAGCAGATTTGAACGCGGTTAAATATAATATATTGATGTCTGCTAAACATCGAAAATCAATTTGCGACACGCGCCTCTTTTCATGTCACGTTTTATGGTTGTTGAAGGCAGAAAAAGAATGTCGGATTTTGTGTCTAGATATGTTAACAAGTGATGATATCCAGACCCGCAGATTTACTTTGGTTTGACATTACGAAATATGGTGGTAAATTATGTGAGCTCTGTGATTTCGAAAAGGGATCACATTACACATGTTATTTAATAAATTTAATATTATTCGAAATGTTGTGTGCTATAATTTAAAATATTTAATAGAGTGAGGTATCCGTAAAATAAAAAATGATGCTCGAAAAAGATGACTGAATATATATTGTTCAATGTAAAATATAATATATAGCTTTTTCTTTGTGTAAAATTTTCATACTAATATATGCGAATGTATACATGTGTATATATATATATATATATTTTTTTTTTTTTATTTATTTATTTGTTTCCTCGATTCTATGGAACAGACATTTCATTTTTTTTAATTTTTTTTTTAATTATTAAATCGTCAACTCGCATGGTTTACATAAATTCTGAAATGGCGGAATGCCACACATATTTCTCTCCACGCTGTTTTCACGATTTAATTTATTATTATATATATTATACATCATTTGACTATACATTGACAATTATACGATAAAAATGTTGCGCAATTTTAATATTGCCATAGTCAGCTTTTTTTATTCTTTATTCACACAAAAAATTACAAAAGATTGATACGCATTACAATATATCTCTAACATGCTGTACACTTGTTGAATGTTCTTTATTTATACATTATCTCATATCTGTTTACGGTTAAATTTTTCTTCATTTGCACACGGCACGAGACATTCGTGTAAATATGCACTATGAGAAAAAAAATTCTTACTACGCTTACGTGACTTCATATTCCATAACCAGTACTTTGTTGGACACGGAGAATGCCTTCCTATGTATTATGTAAATAAACAGCAGGAGCATTAACACACAGCATCGTGCTGTTTAACTCATAGTCGTAATCATATATCAAGATTCGGAGAGAGTTCGCGTATTCAGCCATTTCACTTTATTAAGTTGCTTCTGCAAGGAGAGAGAACCGCAATCAAAATTATCCTCGAGAATTTTCTGCAAAACTGAGAGACTCTTCACTCAAATCTTCTCTCAGTTTTTAATTTCTAATGAATCTTTTCACATTGACTCTATTGTTTTATTTCTGTGATGATTGATTGCCATATTTGAAAAGGCTGTTTGTGATATTTTATTTCTCACTCATTTTTCACTCATTAATAATAATAGATTGATTTATGAGCAATTTCTGTTGGGAGAAAAACTTTAAGGAGAGTTGATATTTGTTTCACGAAATGAATTATCCGACTTTTTATACAACACCATTATTAAAAACTATTGAATATCTGCGATTTACAGTCATGAATACATTCTAAAAAAGTAGTCAATAATTTACATCTTCCAATTTAGCTTCAAATTCGAAACAACGTCGTTACCTGCAAGAAATATCGATGCATCAATAAAAAAGAAGTTGCATTTTTCAGATACCTTTACGATATCGATTATTTTTCTATTAAAAAATCTGTAATTATTATTATAAAAATTGTGTTAGTTTAAATTGTAAATGAATTCTACGATTATCGCGCATAAGCGATGAATCCATAGTTATAATGTATAGTCACTTGAGATCGAATAACTTGCATGCATAATTTCTATATACTTACGTAAATAATTGCGTTAAATAATTGCATTTATTCTTTTATCGATCGTATTCTATCTCATTCTCTTTTTCGAGGTGAATGCTAATTTTAATAAATTTACCACTGGTGCCTCGAAAGCAAGAGAAATGCAGAACGACAGCAGATACGAGGCTACCAAATTACCAAAATAGACGATGAGCTGCGGAAGAAACATATATATCATATTAAATCCAAACATTTTATAAACATAATTTATGCTAGAATTTTATACACGCAATTTTATACACGACAATAGTATCTATTATATCGGGTAGAATTTTTATATCTTAATGGAAATTTTATATCTTAAAATAAATTGGAAATGTGTGTAGAGTGAGATTTGGTTTATATGAAGCATCATTTTTAAGAGAAAAATTGGAAAATTATATTTTGTTTTATTTTTAACTTTTATATATCTTTCAATGATACTATATCAAAAAGCGTTGAAACTACAACAGTTATCAAAATATCAAAGATTACAATATTCTCTATTTCCAAAAAATAAATATTTTTCTTTTACAAATAAACATGTCCGATGTATTTTAAAAATGACTTTATTCTACAATTTCCATTATTTTCTATTTTTTTCCAAATACTATGTTGATCGTTTATTTATTCTTGATTAGCTAATTGTTGCGGTATATCGAATAATTCATATGCAATAAGATAATCAAAAATTAAGTTTAAAAAGAGGTAATAATTTCATTAATTCTTCAAAATCGCATATATCATTTTGACCTTATTAATATATTAATATATTATTGATATATTTTAATAATAGATATTCCAAAGATCTTAATCAATAGATCTTAATCAAAGATCAAATCGAAAAAAGGTTTAGAATCTATTTAGAATCTATTTTTTAACTTTTGTTGTACAGGATCATTTTCTACAGATGTGGAATATATATAACATTTTGTAGATTTTTTTTTTTCAAGCACTTTGAGATAGTTAAAACTGCGACAGGACATTGCGATACATATGTGATCAAAAACAGAACAAAAAAAGTATGATCTACAAGGATCGACTTTTAATTTTAATTTTTATCGATTGTTCGAAAACATAATTTCGTTAATAATTTTATTCTGTTCGTTAATAATTTTATTCTTTTTATTTGCACTTTTTTATAAAATCAAAATTGTCCCTGTTGCATTATACCGACAGGAAAAAATCATTCTGGATGAATATATCACAGCTCTATAAATTTAATAATCTGAAAATCTTCTTTACGCTTACGACGATCCCATTATGGAGATGTAACGGCCCATCCATTTGCGTACTCGTGATCATCATAATAACGGGATGCACAAGATAGGCACAGTATGTGAGCCTCGAGAGTGGGTACGTTAGTCTTAGCGAAAGCAAACTGTCGATCATTCGTGCTGATCCTGTGCAACATTGGATCACGATAAAAGCTACAGCCATTGCCCAGGCGGTGTGAGTCAAGGCTGCATATACGGAGCTCACCAGCACCGTCAAATTTCCGGGATACAATCCGTACACCGCCGAGAACATGATCATTACAGATAGTATCCAGCCGATTAACTCTGCTCCCTAAGAAATTGAGATTTATTTATTTATTATATGAAAAAATTTTTGTTTTTACTTATTCTTTAGGAAACGTAATTTACTTGTTCTTTATGAAAAATTTTACGTTGAAAAGATATAAAAACTTGTTGCAGTATAAATGAATGTTGCTATTTAACGTTTATTATTAATGTATTTATGTAAATTACTCGCATTAACATTTATCATTTTTTTGCATAATTCTTTTAATCGTTTTTGCCAATGAATCTTATTGAGATTTATATCTTATATAGATTTTTCAATTAATTCGTCGATAAATCTACACGATATGTGCGAATATATCGCTGATTAATTGATTGAATGATCAAACTCTTAAAACGTAAAACCGTTATGAACAGTATCGATACACTCACCGTAGGTAACTTTAATTGGCATTTCGTTTTAAAGAGAATATATCCAGTGATCGTGCCAATGAAATACGGGCCCGCTCTCAACCAGGGTTTGTCGTAGAGTTCATCGAATAGGGCAAATGGCTCCTGAATCCTATGTGAAAAATTAGATAGAAATGCTGTGTACCGCGGAATGAAATTGCCGCATTGGCAGGCGAATAATGCAAAATACGAAATCGATAAAGCGCGCTGTAATAAATGCCAGCTGAAATTAAAGCCTGCTTTTAATTACAGGCGACATAGTGAGGCTATATCAATTGTTATGTTTCATAGAATAGTCGCGTGAATAAAGTTTGCAAATTTTTTCTCGATACAATTAAAACTTTTAGCAATCTTTTTTTAATGATAGGATATATTTAAATAAATTTCACTCGAGCCTTCAATAAGCAATTTTAACACGTCAACTCAATATCTTAAATAATTCATATTAACGACAAGCATTTTTAATTAGAAATTTTTAATTAATGTTTTTTATCTTATATTTTGAAAAATTATTGAAATATTTTTTTCTGCAATACACATTGTTTATACGTAATCTAAATATTTCTTAAAAATATTCAGTTTTGCCAAATTATGTATATTATGCGCAAGGTAATCGTGTTAAAAGCGTCATTAAACAGTAAGTAGATTTCGAGAAAGTGCGACATGTGTGATGAACGTAAAGTATCGATCGGGAATCTCTCGTACATTACCTGGCTATGTAATCGTTGCTGTAGGCTACGGAGAACGTAGTGAAACATGAAGAGATGATCAAAAGCAAAACGATAGCGACCGCGGTCTTGAAATATTTTACGGAGATCAAAAGAAGGAGTATTCCAAGGACGTAGAATTGCGTGTCGTTGGCCATATACCAGCTCCACAGCATACACTAGAAAGTTATTAATGCAATAATCGCGTATCTCAATTATTAAAAAGATTGCGCATCGCGATAAATTGCGAAAGTCCCGCAGAAAACTCGGACGAAGAAAAATTCACGCACCGTGAAATCGACGCATTAAATACCTCTTTAAACATTGAAACATTCTAACAATTTTCCTGCTCATTAACTCGTCGAGAGTAGGTTAATAATAAAAATTTTATCTTACTTAATCGTGTCTTATCTTTCAATACTTTATGCGTTTATTGTTTATAATCATTTGGTACGTAAATCGCTTCATGTTAATTTTAAATTGCGACAGGTGTACTGTTGCAAAATGCACCTAAGAAGTTTCACATTACGTTGAAAGCTTGGTCCCGTAAGTGATACATAATAGCAAAAAAATAGGTAAGGTAACACTAGGATAAGCAAAAACATAAATCATCTTACCATTTCCGTACGCGGATATAGCGAGTTCAAATACAGCGCATTTCGCCACCAGAATTTTCCACAAGTGAAATGATCGATAATAAGTGGTGAAAAGACTGTCTTCGCCATAGCGTGCTTCATGGCGATCTCGTTCATTCCCAGCACAAAGAGATAAGCTGGTGTCAATCTACGTGAAAGAAGAAAGAAAGGGGATTATACATTATCCCCTATAATTTATTCGAATTGAATTGTTTTGTGGGGAGACTCTTCACGAGTAAATTACGAGTAATATAATACAATTACGAAATTTACCTGACGAATCGATACAGAATCATGATAATGAATTTGATGGAACTTGTCTTCAAGAAGTTGCCCTTTTCCGTATTCAGATTTCCCAGGGATCGATAGAAGAGTATGGTTACCAATAAACCACTACGCGAAACATTGTAAATAATTAGTATCTTCTTAATTGAAGTAGAAGCTTATCGCGCGAATTTCATCTCACCTGATAAAAAAGAAAGTGTCTACGGAAAATGTCGCGTTGCTGATGGTCTGGAACATGAAATTTCTCTCCGTGACCGTTCGCAATGTCTTGTTCTCTATAAAGCATAATGAGAAAACATTTAATCGCAAAATTGAGCCGGTGAAAGTATACGTGTTGTAAATAGAGAAGAGCTTCGATTAGCGCCTCTCAGGAAATCCGATACATTGTGTTACATCATAGCATCGATCAATTGCGTTGAAAGCTATTTATAGAAAGTAGAACGAGCCGATCAGTTTGAAGTGCTTATGATAGTTAATGACGATTCAATTTTCATGCATTATCGCGTTCTGCTTTTACGAGTTACTTGTCGATTCGCTTAAATTCGAAAAATTCTCTTTGGAAAATTCATCATAAAATTACCCGCGATGGAAAAGACCTGGAGATACGTGTGTACCATGACGACCCATCCCAACGAGAATACCCGAAGACCGTGAAGACAAGTTAGACTATCCTTAGCCGCAGGGTCGGTGCTAATGATCTTACTTCCGTTGACAATGGGGCTGAATGCAAGCAGACATTTCAGCCAGAATCCTGAAAAAGCGACGACGGAAAGAGACATTAAAAAATTCAAAAATATATGGTTCAAGAAGATTCGATAAGATATATATGTCAATAACCTTCGCCGTCATTTTTCCCTTGAATAGAATTTTCTTTTTGCGGATGTTTCATTCCCTTTTCGATCAACTCCTGACCGTTTTCCTGTCCCATCGAGATCGTACGGTCTTGATTCAGATTCTTATCCACGAAATCATTGGTCTTGTCGTTGTTATTCGACATGCTCGAGGACTCGATATCTTTGATCGGAGAAAATGATCTGTATTCATACACGGTCGCACAGATCATCAAGATCAGTATCGCGCCGCTAATGGCTCTAAAGTAACAGTTTAATAAATTTATTATGAGATAATTTTTAAAGTGAATAAAATTAAATTTAAATTATACGTGATAATAAGAAGTATTAAGAATACGTATATATTTCGCAATATATGAATTGTATACATAGTAAATAAATAAATAAATAGTAAATATAGTAAATAAAGTACAAATAAATATATTTACATACATTTATATATACATATTTTTATTTTTCTACATACAATTCATATATTGCGTAATTAACTTATAATTAAAATAATTACTCTTAATTAAAGAATTTGTCTCTTAATTAAAGAACCTTCTTCTCCTTTCATGACAAATTACAGTTGTTTATCCGATATAAAAATGTACAAAAAAATATGTTATAACAGTAATGCTATAATACACTCTTCGACAAAAAATCGAAGTATTCCAAAGAAATCTGAAATTCGGATCTAAATGAAATTTGAAATTTATTATTAAGGTGTTGAAATAAACTAAGGATTATAATGTCAAAACATTTCACAAATTTATTGGTATCACTTAAGCATTCATTAATATCATAAAACTATCTCTGGCAGCAATACAGACTGGTGCACGACGTGGCATGAATTCGAATAAAGCTCTGATATTATTCCGTGACAGATTGTGTCAAATGTGGTGTAGTTACTGCTCTAGATCTTGCGATGGCTGCAACTGACGTTTCATCATGTGTTTCATACGTGCTTAATAGAGAATAAGATCTGGAGATTTGGCTACGGAAGAATGTCAATACTGAAGACACTCTTAAGATGTAAGCTGTATTCGAATGTTATCCGGAAATTATCTTGCTGGTAAATATTTCTTTTATACTTGTCAAGAATAGCAAAGTAATGGGTTGTAGCATGGACGTCAGATATCATCGTGCCGTTAATGTGCCTCTGACCACTACAAGTGGCGAATGGCTATCGAATGCTATCGAATCGATCGTTCGTTACACTATTACACCACTGCTGATAGCTCAATGTCGTTCCACAACAAAGCATTTTGATCGTTATCTAGTCATCTTCCAGACGTGAATGCGGTGATTGTCCGATATCAGACAGAATCGTGACTCATCACTAAAAACAATACGATGCAATGCAGCGATTCTCTATTCTCCTCACGAGCGCGACATCACTGCAGACGGAAATAACAATGTGATGCGGTCGTCTTGATAGCAGTCCTGAGTGGCAAGAATGCAATTCTATCTATTACTCTTTGGATTATAAACAAAAATGATGTCAGATTCGAGCTGACTTGACAATCAAACGATTCTTTTTATCAATCATCTCTGTCAGTCGATTTTCTCTATCAATCTCTGGATTAATTCCAGCCTTCGTGGCGTGTATATGTGCTCTGATATATTTATTGCTTCAGACAATGTTCAACAGCTGCAAAAATGATTCGAATATCAAACAATTCTTCGGCATGACCAGGAAACACTCAATGATACATCCGTTTTTAAATCCCTTAAGCTGATTATATTGATATTTGATTTATTTTCAAAGCACACATAAAAGGCATTACATTGGATTAAAAGAAACAATTCCAGAAATCATACAAGAGATAACGTACATTAGACAGTCCACGTGTCAACAATAATAATGATGTGTGATTAAAATGCACCGTGCATACTTTATTCATCAGTGATAAAACATTAATCTTTCATCTCTTGACAAATGTATATTAATCACCTGTGTATTAATCAGAATTATTTTTCGGGATGTTTTGATTTTTTTGTCAAAGAGTGTATATAGTATAATGATAAATATAACATATTAACAAATATTTGAATAATATGAATAATAGATGATATAAAATAAATTTATCTGTCATGAAAAATGCTGTAATATGTCATTAATAATTTATCAAATAGAAAGTGTAGCTGTAATTACATTAAATATATTAAAAAATATATATTCTTAGTCGACCAATTTTTAATGGTTCAAAAGAACTTTTTCTTAAATTCTAGAGACGCGAGGTAAAATTATTTGAGATAATGATTTAAATCAAATTATATAAATACTCTTAATTAAATATTCTTAATTAAATTAAGATACTTGATGAATGAAATACATAAATCTTTATGTGCAGGATTGCGCTTAGAAACTCTCGTAACGTAATAGAGTTGTCACAAAACCAAGCGAGGACAAAGGATAAAGTTAACGCTAATTTAGCGAGGTATATGGCGAGTGAAAGATTAAGCGGAACATCTGATGACGATGGTAGAATTCATCGTCTTTAGGGATGCTTTTAGTCACGGTTTTAAACTTGGCTCGTAAAGTGTAAACGCAAGAAGTTCTATAACCACTCATATCACATTTGTTCACCGCTAACAATACTAACTTCTGCATTCAACGCTCATACATTGTATTATAGAGGAATGAATTTATATATTGTTATGGAGATACATGCGCGGCCGGAAATTTCGCAAGTCATTCCATATATATATCGCTTTGCAAATACATTCGATATTATCGTAAGAGAATTGAAAAACAAGAAATCGATTATATCTTTGCGCAATTTAATAACGAAATATTATCGAGTACAGTAGATAGGAGCATGCTAACTTTTTTAATTTCCTGCTGGACAGCGCATTGGTTACATGGTCATTGGATTCGCGAAAGAGCTTAATGTTCCGGGAGATTAAACTCGGAAAACCATTCATGCGATTTTCTGCAGTCGTATTCCAATTTAATCTCTCAGAAATTAATGTTTTACCTATATCCATTACGATAAAGACGTATATAATATTAGTTGGGCCTAGAAACTGGAATGCTTAGGCAATTACTTTAGTTCTCTTGTGGAATTCTCTTGTGTCTCATCGCGAATTTTAATAGCATAGGCGATTTTATACAAAATACGTAATTATCTGCTTTAAATTGCGGCTTTTGTGATGTGTAAATATTTCATTGATACTAAAATACACCCACAAAATTGTAATTCGTATCCCAGTTTCAAATTGTGATGTGATTAATCACGATGGACATGAATCCATTGACAATTTTGCGATGAAAAATTGACATCCCCGTGCTTCATTACGAGAACGACGTTATGTCGAACGCGATATCGAATTTTCACGTTAAAGATGAACGCATGATTGGGATTTATAATTGATAGACGTGCTGCAGAATAATTACACGCGAGAATTTAATTTCCATATTTTGTATTTAAAGGCATTTTAAAATCGATTTTTACTCTAATTGATCGACGTTCATTATTACAGGAATGTTATTGTTTTTTGAAACATTTTATTCAATTATTTCGAACAATGTAACATGGAATTATGGATACTCTTTTGTAAAATGTTGAAGTATAAATAAAAAGGGATCATGTCATTGTGTATTCTCTTTCAAAATTTTTATCTTTAATTTCTATTTTTTATCATTACAATATATTGGCTTTTATTATATTTGATTGAAATGTTAGAAGTTATTTGATAGCGTGTCTTATTTGCGTATTTTCGCATCACCGATTACCGCAAAAACCACGAAAAAATAGATGCATAAAGCGAATTCAAACAGTGAATTTTGGGCCACGTGTTATTCTCGCCGTAGAAACTTCCATCTTATATCTTCTTGTCAGCTTTAAATTATTATTTTTGTCGGAGAATTGAGGGGAAAAGGAATTGAGGAGGGAAAAAAGACTTTTGCGGATTTCTTTATCTCCCCACAGCACATTCTCGCGTGGCTTAAATACCGCTCTCTCCGTACAAAATAGTATGGCAACACGAGCTTTTCTCTTTTTCTTCACATTTGACCCATTTTAACGCGCTACTACCTGCAAATCTTGGCGAAGAGGAAAAAAAAAGCGATCCGAAGCGATTCGAAACAAAAGTTTCACAAGGAAAGTTTCTGTCGCGCCTTCTTTATCTCGCTTTACTTTTATTTCTCCTTTCTTTTTTTTTTCTTACCACTCTGTATTTTCGCTGTACTGATTTAATCCTTTGACTACAGTCTCCGTTTGCAACTTTCATCGTCTAAGAAAACTTTTTCTCTCACTTTATCGAGTATGTCATGAAATAAATAACAACCATTCGACAGTCACCACGAAATTGTTAGTGTATACATGGAAATTATATCTTTTATATTGTTTCGCTTTTGACTGTTCTGATAATGGATGAATCAATTTAACACATTTTTTTACATTGCAATCTCACGATATATTTATCGAAAGATTACAATATTTGTCAAATATATCCAAATGCGCGAAATTGCATATTTTATGTTTTAAATTAGAAATAAAAAATGATCGATAATTTTTTTCCAACGAAAATATTAAAACTAAACACAAATTTTCCTCTAAATCTAAATTCTATTCCTGAGCAATTGAATTAATTATCTGTACTTTATCAAATTATAATATGAAATTATAATTCAGATATCCTATAATCTTAAATAAATTTTAATTTTAATTTTAATTTCGAATTAAATGCGAAAATAAAATGACACGTCGGTTCGGTACTTTTCTTTCTGTATGTACAAACGTGTATATGTTACGTGCATGTGCATATATGCAATTGAAATCGTGCGCGGGATAAGCCGGATACCACGTATGGTAATATCACTGCACATCTGACGGTTTCCATTTCCGTAAACAATTTAATGGATTGGACCAAACGTATTCTGCGACGCGATTTGCATCCGTGGCGAGGCCCGCATTCCGTCGAAACGCAGACGACAGCTCAAACACTTTCACGTTGCGCGCCCGGTGGCTTTCTACAATCTTACATAATAGATACACAGCAAGTGCGTGCGTTGCATGGTCGACCGACGCATAATTGCTTGCCGGTAACGCCGGGCATCTTAGCATCGCGTTTTAATTAAGCACAGTTATATATAACAATTTCCTTTTAAATTTCCATCGATAACTCATACATTTTATTTCCACTTCGAGATAAATATATGTTTATACATATATGTTTATTCTAGAAGAATAATCACAAAACGATTGTAAAATAATAAACTGAATTGAAGATCTCTTTTAAATAATAAC